AAATGCTACAACGCAAACATGTATTCTGCATTGTGTATATATATATATATATATATATAAAAAATTATAAAAAATACATAATACAAAATAAACAATTTATGTTCATTAAATATTATTACAAATGCCTGTAAAGGGCGACAAAGGCCTGGTATTTGCTGCTGTTACACATACAGCACGATCAAATCCTTGTTAAATATCGACCGAACATTTAGGCTAATTCAAATATCCACTTAATCTTTCATTTTTGGCCACCTTTTTGTGATAAAATGCTACAGCCTCTATAATTTCTTCAACAAAAACATGTGGACATCACAAACCTTACAAAAATTAACCATGGTTTTATCGTAGTAAAACTGCTTAATTTTCTTTTGCGTGATTTCTGAATGCTTGAGACTATAAAATCAATCAGACAACTGCATTAATAAAATCATAGCCCTAGGTAACTGTCTAGAGCTACAATTGTAATTTGTAAATAATACAATTTAATTACAATTTATTTATTTACTTTTATATTTGATTGAAGTTCTATTTTGAACCCCAATAGTAGTTTTTTATTTTATTTTTTTACATCCATAATATTTGGGAGAGGGGGCACAACAATACAATTCTTCTTAGGGCGCCCATTTGGCCATCAGCGGCCCTGATCAGATGCCATTGTTTACAATACAACCGGAGCACATGCACTGAGGCGAGGGGCGTGACGCTTCTGGACTGCACTGACGGTTCAGCCAATCACAACACACTGGGCCAGCTGACCAATCTGAGCCCATTGTATATATCTGAGGGAGGGGCTTCATAAAAACAGGAAATCATCAGAGCGTTCATCAGAGAAGGGACAAAGCCGTGTAGAACAAAGGTAAATTATGTGAAAAATAATGCGTTTTTTTGAAAACTAAGCATTAAGATGTTAGACTGCACCCCATAAACACAATCAAGCCTAGAAAAAAAAAAGTCAACCACCCCTTTAAAGGTTACTAAAACATCTCTTACAATTGTCACCAACATTTGGACTTATAGTTTGTTTTCTCTCCTCATGTGTTCCTTGACCTAGTTTCCCCATTCTTCCCTTGATTGTGTTAGTCAGTTCACCTGTGTCTAGTTAATTCAGTGTTTTTCCTCGTTTGCCCGTGTATTTAAGTTCCTGTCTGTTCAGTTCTAGTTTGTCGGGTCTCGTTTATGGTATACGTGTGTCACCAGCCGGCCTGTACGTGGAATTACCTTTATGTGGATTAATTAAAGACTTTCATCTTCATGCGTGCTCAATCAACACAGTTACGTGACAACAATATTCTGATCATTTTATTTTTACCCAAAATATAACATTACTTTAATGTTTATTTTTAAAATTCTAAAAATGTTTTCTCCTAACATTAAGAACATTCATTAAGTACAAATAGCAGTTTTCTCTTAACATTTTAAGGACATTCTTTAATTAAAAATAACGGTATGTGGACATTCAAAGAATGTTGTTCTAAGAATGTGTTTCTCTCAATGTTTTATCAAATATTAATAAAGTGATAAGAACATTCCATAAACGGTACTTAAAGAACATTTAAGAACTTAACATTTATATAACTTTTAAAAGTTGTGAGAACATTCCCTGTTAGCTAGGACAGCTGCAATTACAGGACCAACTCATATTAATGTGGATGTACTTAGAAAGCAATGCCATTAAAATTCCTGTTGGTGTAATGGTCAGGGTTATATATATATCCCTCTATATAAGATATTTAAGTATTTCCCAGAAGACAGAATAATAATAATAATAATTTATTTTGATCTTTGTTTACAAAAGTTTGCATTCTCTTGTATCCTTCTCGAGCAACAAATAAATGCACGTTTTGGTAAATGTTGAGTCCCTCAATTGCTTTAGATGAGAAAAGCAGGATCTCAACTTTTGTAGGCATTGAGGAGACAAGAACAACAATCAAACGGTCACTGATCAAGGGGATGTAAACTTTTGAACACGACCCTCTGTGTAAATTCAGTAATTATTTTTGTCTTGTGGAATATGCATGAAAATGAAATTTAAAATATATGAAATGATTTAAATGCAAATTGTTTTTCTTAGTATTTTGTCTCATTTTGTTTTTGTCTTTTCCTGTACAAATCAAGATAAGATAAGATATTAAGTCTTGTTTTCTAATAAAAATTAAGTGAGTTTATGCTTAAACAATAAAAAAGCATCTATCCACGGGGAAAGAAAAACTAAAAATAAACTATTTTTTTTAAAAGAATGAATTTAATAAAAAAAAAAAGACGATTTCTTATTAAAATTAATAATTTTGTTTCTCAAGTAAATGGCATAATAATGTCAAGTAAGATCATGATTTAAGAATGTTTAGATATTTAACAGAAAAACAAAATAAATAAAAAAAATTTTTTTGTAGTGTCCTAAATTAAAAACAAAATGCATTTTTTTAATGAAATCTGTTCTTTTGAATGATAAAGATTCTGCAAGGGGTATGCAAACAAATGCACTCAACTGCAAATTTCATTTTTATCTGTATGTGCTATTCTACTTTTTTTTAATGAATTTTCTGTTATGATAAAGGACATGAGATCGTACATTAGTCACTGGCTCAGTGTCGGCCTCGTTGACGCAGCCCTGCAGTGAGAGGTTGAGCGAGCAGCAGGAGATCATCAGTCTCTTCCCGAGTTTCTCATCGAACGGCTGGACAGAAGCAGACTCCATCCTGGGACTCCTCAAAACCTTCAACACAAAGCATGCGTTTCTCACACGCCAAAATAACAACCACGGTGAAATGCCCTGCACAAAACCCCCTTAAACAATACAATCTCTTCATGAAACAGAAAGACGTACAGGAATATCAGGATCCAGAGAGAACAGGTTGAGTCTTTCCTCTCGTCTGGCAGCTCTCGCTGATTCCTCGGTCTCAGAAATATACTGAAACATCACAACATCAGTGTTAATCATGTGCAGTGCTCTTATGACATACCATTAGTTACATGTTTATGTCTATAAATGTTTTGCTGAAAATATTTCCTTCTGTCATTAATGGAGGCCAAACAGAGTTCATCAAGGGTAGAAGTTGCAGTCATAAAGTACGCCTGTTTCACACACGATCCGATTGCAGCACGTCTGCAGTATGTTCTGCAGTACATATGTGCTACAGAAGCTCACTGTGCTTTCACATGAGATGTGTTTACAGCGCACGAGCCTGAGCCTCGCTGTTCCAAGTTTGAGAAAAGGTGACTGTCAATAACTATATGCATTTATGGAAAAATGACTACATTTTTATTTTGACCATGAACAATGCGCTCACTTTAATTTAATGTGTGCAGCATTGCAAAAACAGACTCGGTGCAGAAATGATCGTTGCACTGATCCAGCAATGCATTTTCTGCGCCGCATCTGTGTGCACGAAAAAAAATCCATAATGCATATGTACTGCAAACAGATCTTGTGTGAATCGTCACTAACCTTTCTTGCAAATGCAACATTGACACACATACAAAATAATGCACCTCATTCCTTCTGTACTTCAGTGCTTCGTGCTTTGTAAGCACTCACCTTGTTTGCTGTCGCTCAGGTCCGCACTCTTGCGATCCAGAGCCGGGCCGTCCGGAGGGCTGATCTGCAGGATGCGTGTGAGAGTGTTGATCCAATCATCCATGTCTTGCTCGTTCTCGGCAGCCAGGACAAAGTATGTCACTTCGTTCATTTTCAACTCAAAGGCGTGTTTCCTCAGGCGGTTATTCTGTGCGAACCCAGAAACCATAATAAATATCAGTCACTGGTCACCTCATTGTTAATGTTTGCTGAACCGCTTTAAAAACATATATTTACCGACCTGAACCACACCGGTGCACGAGTCCAGAAATATACAGCCTTTAGGTTCCTTTGATATCTTCTCATCTTTATAGAAGTTCATGATGTAAGAGTTGTCAGTTAGCTGAGTCAACTGAAAATATCTTCGCTTGAAGGACTGGAAAAGAAAGTGAAAGTGACGTGACATGTGGCCCAATACTAGAAATTAGTGCTCTGCATTTAACCCATCCTAAGTGCCCACACACACCGTGAACACACACCTGGAGCAGTGGGCAGCCATTTATGCTGCGGCGTAATACTAGAAATTAGTGCTCTGCATTTAACCCGTCCTAAGTGCCCACACACAGCAGTGAACACACACCCGGAGCAGTGGGCAGCCATTTATGCTGCGGCGCCCGGGGAGCAGTTGGGGGTTCAGTGCCTTGCTCAAGGGCACCTCAGTCGTGGTATTGAAGGTGGGAGAGAGCGCTGTACATTCACTCCCCCCACCTACAATCCCTGCCGGTACGAGACTCGAACTCGCAACCCTTGGGTTACGATTCCGACTCTCTAACCATTAGGCCACGACTTCCCCCAAAAGCACAAGCGTCAAGAACAAGCAACAGGCAATCAGCAATATTTTTCACTTAAGTAGTTCTTCTGACAATATTGAATTTGTAAAAATAAAAAAACCTGAATGAAAATTAGATAAACTTAGAGAAGAGAGAAGTCTAGCATTCTAGAAAACACAGTCTGACAGAACGAAAGCATCAGTACAACTATGTAAGTACTCAGGCCATCCAAGATTAGGATGAGTTTGGTTCAGATTTGTAGAAATGTAGCATTGGATTCTCTGCAGTGAATGGGTGCCGTCAGAATGAGAGTCCAAACAGCTGATAAAAACATCACAATAATCCACAAGTAATCCACAGCACTCCAGTCCATCAGTTAACATCTGGAGAAGACAAAAGCTGAAACAATATCAGTATTAAGACATTTTTAACATCAAACCGTTGCTTCTGGCTAAAATATGAGTCCATAATCCATAATAACGCTTCCTCCCGTAAAAAAAGTGCATCTCCTGTTGTCTCTCACATCAGAATCCAGCCACATATGTGTTTAGAGCTGTTTAAACGCTGCTTGATCTGTGCAGACCAGAACATTTTTTCCCTGGAGGAAGCATTATTATGGATTATGGACTCATATTTTAGCCAGAAGCAACGGTTTGATGTTAAAAATGTCTTAATACTGGATTTGTTTCAGCTTTTGTCTTCTCCAGATGTTAACTGATGGCCTGGAGTGCTGTGGATTACTTGTGGATTATTGTGATGTTTTTATCAGCTGTTTGGACTCTCATTCTGACGGCACCCATTCACTGCACAGCATCCATTGCTGAGACACTGATGCAATGCTACGCTTCTCCAAATCACAGTCAGAAACAAACTCATCTACATCTTGGATGACAATGTTCATTTTTGGATAAATTATTCTTTTAAGTGAACCCTTAATCTAGTATTTTTCCCCCTCTGACATACACATAAAATGATCACACATTCACAAATTCCTAGTCAAATGCAGACACGTGAGACGGTGTGTGAAAGACGTGCACTCTCACCCGGACAGTGATACTGTTGTTGACAGTGCTGTTAAAGTTGCCTTTATAGAGCCAGCCGGACTTAAAAACCCCGATTCCCCCTGCACCTCCACTCCCTGCTCCACCTCCTCCGCCTTTAGATGATGACAGAGAAGTTGTGTCCTACACACAACAAATACATAAATAAAATATGTTACAACGAAATATAAAAAATTATAAAGTGCATTTGGGAGTTTAACACACTCCAGCTCAGCTTTACTTTCACATATACATAATTTCCAACATTTTTATAGACAGAAGGCCATATGAATCTTTCTGTAAATTCAGCTTGATGCGTCGTGCTGACCTCATCTTTGTCCACATCTTCATGGTCGATCTCAAAGGAGTGCGAGGGCAACTTCTCTGATTTACACAGCTTCCTATCAGGCAGAAGAATTACGGAGAGAGAGAAAAGAATCACTGTCATCCACTATGATCAGGACGAGAAGAGCAGGAGAGCATTTCCACCAGCAGTTTGGTTTTGGACATGTGGTTCTGCCGATTTCATGTTTAATAACTATAATATTCATTTGCATATATTATTAACAGCAAAGAAAATTACTTGTACAACAGTTCGTGATAATATTGTCACCTTCTAACATTTTCAGGAAGGCAGGAATACATTTTATTATAAATATACAGTATATCACATCACATATCATATCTCTTTTGAATATTATTATACATATTTCAAAAGAGATGTTTCATGCATCACTACTTGCATTCATCCACAAAAACAAAAGAGTCAGTAACAAGGCCATTTTGAATGCATTACGCACAAGCCAGTCTAAAACACTTCAAAAGAAAGAAAGTAGAAAAACCCCTGAAGCATCAGTGTGCAGATAAATCCTGCTCTCCTATTCAAAGAGGTGGTATTTTCCACATCATGTGCTGTTTTCACTCCTTTCAGTGAGCTTTATTCTGACAGGACCCCACACACCGGTGTCCTTTCTGCTGCCTGCCTCAGAGCTCTTTGTGTCTGTCCTGTGTGCCAGTTTATCCAGCACAAACACACACCACACACACTTTCTGTCGACTTGCATCACTCTCTGCTCAGTAACAATGTGCCTGAGCTGCCATAAGTTCACAGCACCAGTGTTTTGTCCCTGCATGTCGCTAGTCTCTGCACATCTGGACATATACAAATGCAATCACAGGTAATATATTGCAGGTTAAACTAAAACTAAGGAATTTGTTTTCTTGTCACTAAAAAGTAACTTTCTGCTGTTGGAACGTGTTGTTATAAACTTCAGCAGTGTTAGTGCATTAAACCTGACGACCGATCTATCAATACACCATTTAAACTCACTTTAATTCCAAAAACATCATACATATGGCTTTTTGTAAGAAATAATAATATAATTATACAGATTAAGCATTGTTGTTAAATAACGGTGTAAAATTATTTAATGTGTTTAATATAATATTGCAAAGTGATGGTGATGCAATTTCCAGCAATGGCTGTTTCTGTCATGCAATATTGAAGTGATACGGTTTTTGACTGTGTAGCATTTTCCAATTAATTTAGTTAATAAACTTTACCTAATAGTGCTGGGAAGATTACTTTGGAAAGGTAACAAAAGGTTACAAGTTACCCTATTTGAAATGTAATAAGTATTGTAACTATTTCAATTACTTTATTAAAATAATGTAACTGATTACATTTGAATATCTTTTGATTACTTTTCTAAATTTCGATTTCTACATTTTTCTAATCTGTTGATCATTTTGAAACATTTAAAACAGGCAGGGTTAACCGTACAGTAGCGCTCAACACTGACTCTTCTTCACGTGAATTAAGATTAGAATAATATAGAATAATAATAAGACTTCAGCACTTCTTTTTACTTTGAGATCGTTCTGAGGTTAATGCAATTTGGGAAATAAATCAGTCATATCTGTATGTGTGTGTGAAAACGTTAAGATGTAACCCCCTTTGTAATCTTTAACATTTTCATAAGTAACTGTAATTTGATGACACAGATTAGTTACATTTATTTTGGGTAACACTTTATTTAAAGGTGCCCTTGTTACAAGTTACATGTACTTAATACTATAATTACAATTAATTATGCACAATTACATCGAAGTAACCCTAAGCCAAACGCTAATCCTAAACCTAACCATATAGTAAATACATGTAGTTAACTAATATGACTCAGTACTAAAAAGTATAATTACACTGTAACAAGGACACCTTAAAATAAAGTGCAACCTTATTTTGTAATCAAATTACGTAATTCTGTTACATGTAACTAGTTAATCCCCAACACTGGTTACTGGACTACTGGATGTTATTCAAGTTCAAATCACACTCGCATATGAAGAAGAAGCATCAAATATATACTGATAGTTTTCCACTGGCTATCGCTTCTGATAGTTGCTCCTCATTTGCATAAAGTTCAACATTTCTCAACTTTCTCAAGCAGCTGGACACGCCCACATACTCTTCTCAAACGAATAGGATCACGCCGTTTCGTCTCTGTGTTTTGCTGGCGGTGTGAACAGGGCTATAAATGTTGGAAAACAGGCTTCTGAAGGATCTGAGGCAAAAGAAAAGCCTGCCGGCAGTCCAATCTTGTCCAAGCTAATAAGAGGTCAATTCTCAGTTTTGTCTTTGTCAAGCAAGGCACTTATTTTTGAATTTTTAAATTCAATTTTTTTCACCCCCATTAAAATCCTCATCTGTAAAAAAGTGAGTGGAGCTGTACCTGGGCAGCGTGCGGTAGTCCCCTGCATAGTCGTCATATTTATACTGGATCACATGCAGCTGGGAGTTGTAATATTGACAGGCCTATAGAAGAAAAAGAAAAAAAACAAAACCGGCAGAGGTTCATCCTACTGTAAGAGCTAAAAGACAAAAAGCATTCACTGCCATTCAAAAACCCTTCAGAATGTTAAGTGTGTCATTGTGTTAAGTTAATGACTGCTCGAATATTAAATATGTTTGATGTAAATTTAAAAGGCTAAACATTTTCTAAACAACAAATAAGCAAAATTGATTACTTTTCTAAATTTCGATTTCTACATTTTTCTAATCTGTTGATCATTTTGAAACATTTAAAACAGGCAGGGTTAACCGTACAGTAGCGCTCAACACTGACTACCGTCAGACTCTTCTTCACTTGAATTAAGATTAGAATAATAATAAGACTTCAGCACTTCTTTTTACTTTGAGATCGTTCTGAGGTTAATGCAATTTGGGAAATAAATCAGTCATATCTGTATGTGTGTGTGAAAACGTTAAGATGTAACCCCCTTTGTAATCTTTAACATTTTCATAAGTAACTGTAATTTGATGACACAGATTAGTTACATTTATTTTGGGTAACACTTTATTTAAAGGTGCCCTTGTTACAAGTTACATGTACTTAATACTATAACTACAATTAATTACGCACAATTACATCGAAGTAACCCTAAGCCAAACCCTAATCCTAAACCTAACCATATAGTAAATACATGTAGTTAACTAATATGACTCAGTACTAAAAAGTATAATTACACTGTAACAAGGACACCTTAAAATAAAGTGCAACCTTATTTTGTAATCAAATTACGTAATTCTGTTACATGTAACTAGTTAATCCCCAACACTGGTTACTGGACTACTGGATGTTATTCAAGTTCAAATCACACTCGCATATGAAGAAGAAGCATCAAATATATACTGATAGTTTTCCACTGGCTATCGCTTCTGATAGTTGCTCCTCATTTGCATAAAGTTCAACATTTCTCAACTTTCTCAAGCAGCTGGACACGCCCACATACTCTTCTCAAACGAATAGGATCACGCCGTTTCGTCTCTGTGTTTTGCTGGCGGTGTGAACAGGGCTATAAATGTTGGAAAACAGGCTTCTGAAGGATCTGAGGCAAAAGAAAAGCCTGCCGGCAGTCCAATCTTGTCCAAGCTAATAAGAGGTCAATTCTCAGTTTTGTCTTTGTCAAGCAAGGCACTTATTTTTGAATTTTTAAATTCAATTTTTTTCACCCCCATTAAAATCCTCATCTGTAAAAAAGTGAGTGGAGCTGTACCTGGGCAGCGTGCGGTAGTCCCCTGCATAGTCGTCATATTTATACTGGATCACATGCAGCTGGGAGTTGTAATATTGACAGGCCTATAGAAGAAAAAGAAAAAAAACAAAACCGGCAGAGGTTCATCCTACTGTAAGAGCTAAAAGACAAAAAGCATTCACTGCCATTCAAAAACCCTTCAGAATGTTAAGTGTGTCATTGTGTTAAGTTAATGACTGCTCGAATATGAAATATGTTTGATGTAAATTTAAAAGGCTAAACATTTTCTAAACAACAAATAAGCAAAAACAAATGTTCCATCTGACAAATGAACAGGTATCTATTACTGCCAGCATTTTAATGTTTAATATAATTCTAAGCAGTTTAGAGATTCTGCACCCACACAGGTCCTTTATAAAAGCTTGTGCAAACCATAGACAAAAGCACATCCGACTATATTAATTTTTTCTGCTATACACTATTTTAGTACTGTATTGGGTCTCGTAATGTCCCGTCAGGTTCTGAAACACTGGAAACTTAAATGTATATGAAACTTTTGGTGGTTCAATGAATGGATAAAAATGATGAGTCAATATTAAAAATATCTACGCTGGTGCTTGTTAAGGCAGTTTACTTGCATCGCTGGGATAATTTACATGCACTGGTAAATTCAATAAATAGATTTTTGGTAGTTATCTGTGTATTGGTGTGCTCAATGTTGATGACAAGACAAAATAAAAACATTTTTTTCAGAATATTCAGTCCAGATGGTGATAAGAAATTTTCTTTGATGATGTTTTGCAGGAAACTGTTTTTCTTCGAGACATACTTGACAGCAGGACTACGGCTAAGCTCCTGGAAGCAAATGTTAATACACTATTACCTGTATGTATATGCTGCATCATAATCGCACAATTTCATGCACACAGTTATTTTTATTAATTTATTTTGTAGCTAAAAATTCAATAAAAAAAAAGCTACTTTAGTATATGTCAGAACTACAAAAATATGCACAAATATTACTCCCTTTGAACTGACTAATTCAGTAAACTGAAGAAGTATCTTGAAGGAGTAAACTTTTTTTTTTAGAGGAAAAGTCCGTTATTATGCCAGAACAGTTGAACTCCCTCAGTACTGTACGTCACTCTCAATGGAAACACTCCTCGTATGATTTATTCTTTCTTGCACCATTGTTCACCACAGTTTGTTCTTCACCAAGAAGGGCTTAAAAATAATGTTATCCAGGGGTCAAGTCAAATAAATCTATTGGGAAATGCAGTGCTGAAATTTCACCTCATATAACAGTAAGCAGGGTCAGAAATTAATGAGGGCTTGAGGGCAAAAATGCCATTAAAATGAATAAAATGCCCCCATAAATTCAAGATATGGGTGCAAAAATATGAGTTCTTGATTTTTGTATTTATAATATAGTCCTGCAATACCACACAAGCAAGAATGTGGTGGTTACTGGTGGCCTACGGGCGGTTTTAATTTAGTTTCATATTTAACAATATCACTTTTTAGTAATTTCATTTAGCTATTTTTAAATTTCATTTATAAAACATTAATCTCATAGAATTATTTATGCAGTCGCAATTGCAATGTAAATGCATTCATTTCACCTTAGCTACAATAAAACAGTCGGTGTAAAAACATCTAAATGCACCTTCCAGCTTGTGTGCCAATTCTGCTGTGCAAAGTTGGATTATGTTGATGCTGGTTTCATTTGATTGGTGCATGTGTGATAGTGTCTTATTATTCTTATTTGATTTAAAATTGAACTTGATTAAATTTAAACAGTTGAACCCCTGATGTCACATGGACTATTTTACCGATGTCCTTGCTACGTTTCTGTGCGTTGCTCGTGGTAATATCCTTGCTGTCTATGCAGGGTCAGAGAGCTCTCACATTTCATCAAAAATATCTTAATTTGTGTCCTGAAGATGAACGAAGGTCTCACGGGTTTGGAACGACATGAGGGTGAGTAATTAATGGCATAATTTTCACTTTTGGGTGAACTAACCCTTTAAGAATTTGAGAAAAGATACTTTTTTGTTTTCTTTTGGAATTTTTTTTTTCTCAATGGAAAATTCATGGTTAATTTGTGTCACTTATGGTAAAAGATCATCTTTAATGAACCTGAAATTATTTTTTCATAAAACAGAAAGGCACATGATGCATAACAAACAAAATATGTCTAACTCTCCTGAACACTAAATATACTATTAAAATGTTTCTTAGTTATACAGTATTTTAGTTACATATCCCTCGTTTTTTATTGAATCTTTGTGAAATATATCAAATTACACAAGTTTTTCCGAGATGAACATGACTGTCTAAACTGGAATCAGGAATTTTCTTTTTGGTGTCTTTAATCCTGTCAGAGTCATTTTACATGTTGCTTCGTGGAGTTCTGAAGCGAGAACAACCTTAGTAAGCTCGTTTCATTTGCTTGCAAAGCAGATTTTTAGTCTTGTGCTGTTAACTTTGCTGCTCAGCGCAACTGTCTGCTGTGTATTTTCTAATAAAGAAATATAGAATACATAGCTCTCCCCAGCTGTTTCATTAACTTTCATTAAGCGTCCCATGTCTCCGAGCACGTTGATGGTTTGCATGAAAAGCTGAGGAGGTAACGCAGCGCAGGAACTCAGTGCACAACTTCACAAGCCTGTGTCTTCTCACTGCAGCACACTAAAAGCAAAGCGACACGGACAAAACTGCTACATTCTAGCACAATATACAATATAGAAATACATTATAATTTTTATTTTCTATTAGACCTATATTCGTGCTCAGTCTGTAGTGCTCCGGACAAATCTGCTGCCAGAACTGTAATTGTGGAAAACACATCAAAAAAACTACTGTTAGGACTTACTAAAATAAGCAATGAAAGGGCGTAGACATACTTATTTTTGCAGCCTGCCTTATTGCATACGCATTTGTAGGAGTTTCCCTTTCAGATGCAATATTTATGAGAGGAGAGTATTTAAATAAATCATGCAAGGCAATTTACCAATGTTTGCAGTAGTCAAGTGCCCCCCAAAAAAGCACGTTTTAACCCATTTTGTGCCTGGGTTGTTAGCAGATTACACGCACATGATTGTTGGCTCTAGCTAATTTGTGCTGCTCTTGGTGGATTGCATTGGTCATTATGGAACTAATCTGCATCTGTATTTAATTTGCACATTGTCAGTAAAACACCCACAGAACTTTCCACTTCCATTTGTGTTTTTATGTGATTGCGGTCTCAAACTAATTTGTTCCCACTCTGCAAGCATTTCACACCTCTCTCTAGTATGAGACATAGTATTCATTAATCTTTTGTTTTATTCATCCATGCCTTTATTCTGACATCGCTTGCCAGAGCCAGAGTGTGGGCCATTTTCATAAAACATAACATAAAACATGACTGTAAAAAAAATCATTTTACAAGAGAACAAAACGGTAACACACATAGAGCACCTCACTTATGGTCAACACAGATGCTCAAACGAGGGTGTGTGAAGCATGAGAACCAGTAAGGGTCGTTCTAGTGTGTATCATACGCCACAGGAGCTTTAGTGTTTACCTTTCTAATGCACTCTATATATGTGTGTTTGTATGTATGTGAAGAAAAGCCGAAATTAAATCTGTTCATCATATAAAGCAATCGTATCTCTCCACAAGACGTTCTATTGATATGGATTAATTTTTTGACACCTTTATGATGCTTTTGCACCTAAGTTTTGATTACCTGGACTTTAAGAGGGAGGCAGCAGAAACCATATATATAAATACATAAATTGTGCATTGAAGATTAACCAAAGTTTGTATTGTCCCTTTAAGCTGTGTCGTCAGCAAGTCATTTCCTATCAAGCCTATAGTTAGCGCAGTCGGAGGAAAGCAACTGCAACATCTGGCTCAGCCGTCTCTCGAGTTTTTTGCATACATCAGCATGACATCAGAGCAATATTGCTCATCTCAAACGAGCCTGCTGTTTGCGGATATCACAGAAATGAAGTGCTACAAACTGAATTCTACCCGACTCAAAGTGGTCAGTGACTTCTCTTATAAAACAGCACTCCAAAAAAACTTTTTTTATGTTGAACATAATCTGATAGTTTATTCAGCGTATTAAAGTCTCTCCTCCATTGACATCCATTTAAAAAAAGGGACTCTGATGTAGCTTCCCCAACCACATGTGCTTTTATTTTGGAAAAATTATGCAGTACTTTCCACACGATGACTGTTGTTTATAGTGACCATGTCCATCAGTCTCCAAAAATAGAACACAAATTGTAATATCCACAGCAACATCTACTCATTCCCACAATTCCTATTCCACACATTCAATTCCACCATCCACCAGTAGAGGTCCCAATCACATCTGACGTGCATTCATGATACGCTGCATCTGGAATTCATTACCGCCGTGTGTATATATGTTCACTGTGCCTAGAGCTGCCCTACTGCCGGTTTCTCTGGATTATTCAGCTTGATTGCTGATTTGGATTTGTTGGCGCTGCCTTTCCGGTTTTAAGCTCTCCGTTTTTCATCATGAACACAGCAATATGAGGTGCTATGTTTGTGTGTGCTCACTGAGAAAAGTCGCATAAGCCATGTTTATACTTGTGCCATGTAAAGGCCAGATCTATGTGTGAAAGAGGATGTGGTCAGAAAGGCCGCGGCTGTTTTCAGTGCTGCACACAGGGAGAAGTTTTAACACATACGCAAGCATGCACACAGTCATTCAGCACCTACTTCATGACTTTTTGTAAATTTCTACACCTTTCAAAAAAAGACCCTTTTTAGAGCACTTTCAAAATGTCAAAAAAACACATCATCACGGGATGTAAATGCGTGAACGCCACAGATACGCACAAGCAAACACTCGCACACAAAGAGAGAGCGAAGCACTCACAGTGAAGTCGAGGTCTGGGAATAGCAGGAGATCTTGAAGAGGATCTTCTCTGAGCTCAGGTTCAAGCTCTGAAATCACAGCCTCATAGTCCAGAGGGTCGATCAGTTTGGGCTTCTCCTGCTGGGAGATACAAAGAAAAACATATCATCACAAACAATATCAGAATGCAAGAGTGTCAGCACTTTTCACAAGGACAGTACACTTATTTTAAATTTGTACTGAGTGTTAAAACTGCTTAAAGGGGTCATATGATGCGATTTCAATTTTTCCTTTCTCTTTGGAGTGTTACAAGCTGTTCGTGCATAGATAAGATCCCTAAAGTTCCAAAGACTAAAGTCTCAAAGCCAAAGAGATATTCTTTATCAAAGTTAAGACTCTTCCACACCCTCCTAAAACGGCTCGTTCTAACACACCCCCACATGTCTACGTCACGATGTGGGAAGATTTGCATAACGCCGCCCAAATGTTCACGCAAAGAAAGAAGGCGTAACTTTGATTCTCGCTGTAGTATTGTTTCGCTTCATCCGTGTCGTGGAGACGCTGTGTGTTTCTAAATATGGCAAGGGGCGTAACATTTCCGTCACATGCTTGAGGTATTCATCCAATCACAACGCACTGGATAGCTGGCCAATCAGAGCACACGGCGCTTTTCAGAATCATGAGCTTTGTAAAAATCGGCGTGTTTCAGATAGGTGAGGTAGAGAGGACCGACAATAATGTACGATATGTGGAAAACAATGTGTTTTTTGAACCTTAAACCACATTGCATTTCACCAAATACACAAAATAATGTGATTTTTAGCATCGTCATATGACCCCTATAAATGTATCTTTGTATGCGCTTGCATCATCTTCGATGATATAGAGTGTAAATTAGGGTAACCGGCAACACATTATTGGTCCCTTTGCATCAGACTATTACTGGCAACAATGCAACCAATGATCAAAAGTAATGAAATAAATAAATAAATAAAAATACAGATGAAAAATAAATTGGAGGGGGAGGTCTCCGACTCTGAAGGCTGCTATACTTCACAAAACGTCTGATGGTGAAGCTTTAAGCGGAATCAAATCCACTTCAGAATAAAGCTACAAGCATGGAAAACATCCTTCACATCAGGTGGATTTCTCAGTCAAATATGAACCTGAGCCAACAATGTTTATAAGTGTTAAGATCCAATAGACTGACTGATAAAAGGACATGAGCGATGCTCTTCCCAGATTTCTCAACAAACAATATTAGCAAAAAAATGTTAAATAGATAAACCTTTGTGCAAATCAACTGAACTGTAATGTTTTGTGTGTTCTATAAAGGGTAATCATATTGTCCATTCAGAAAGTACCCAGATGACACACACTGATTGGGGGATTTTCTGCCATGCTTTGTATCAGATCCTCTTCTTCCACACCCTCCTAAAACGGCTCGTTCTAACACACCCCCACATGTCTACGTCACGATGTGGGAAGATTTGCATAACGCCGCCCAAATGTTCACGCAAAGAAAGAAGGCGTAACTTTGATTCTCGCTGTAGTATTGTTTCGCTTCATCCGTGTCGTGGAGACGCTGTGTGTTTCTAAATATGGCAAGGGGCGTAACATTTCCGTCACATGCTTGAGGTATTCATCCAATCACAACGCACTGGATAGCTGGCCAATCAGAGCACACGGCGCTTTTCAGAATCATGAGCTTTGTAAAAATCGGCGTGTTTCAGATAGGTGAGGTAGAGAGGACCGACAATAATGTACGATATGTGGAAAACAATGTGTTTTTTGAACCTTAAACCACATTGCATTTCACCAAATACACAAAATAATGTGATTTTTAGCATCGTCATATGACCCCTATAAATGTATCTTTGTATGCGCTTGCATCATCTTCGATGATATAGAGTGTAAATTAGGGTAACCGGCAACACATTATTGGTCCCTTTGCATCAGACTATTACTGGCAACAATGCAACCAATGATCAAAAGTAATGAAATAAATAAATAAATAAAAATACAGATGAAAAATAAATTGGAGGGGGAGGTCTCCGACTCTGAAGGCTGCTATACTTCACAAAACGTCTGATGGTGAAGCTTTAAGCGGAATCAAATCCACTTCAGAATAAAGCTACAAGCATGGAAAACATCCTTCACATCAGGTGGATTTCTCAGTCAAATATGAACCTGAGCCAACAATGTTTATAAGTGTTAAGATCCAATAGACTGACTGATAAAAGGACATGAGCGATGCTCTTCCCAGATTTCTCAACAAACAATATTAGCAAAAAAATGTTAAATAGATAAACCTTTGTGCAAATCAACTGAACTGTAATGTTTTGTGTGTTCTATAAAGGGTAATCATATTGTCCATTCAGAAAGTACCCAGATGACACACACTGATTGGGGGATTTTCTGCCATGCTTTGTATCAGATCCTCTTCTGCTGTGTCAGGTTGAACATTTTCAGGTCTCTCCAGAGATGTTTGATTGGGTTCAAGTCTGGTCTCTGACTGGGCCACTCAAGGACACTCACAGAGTCGACCCTAAACTACTCTTGGTTTGTGTGCTTAGTGAACCTTCTGCCCAGTCCGAGGTCATTAGCTCTCTGGATCATGTTTTCATTAAGGAATGACCAGTTCCCCAGTCCCAGTCTCTGAAAACCACCATCCTTCACCAGCAGAAAGCTATTGTGCAGGTGATAAGCAGTGCTTGGGTTCCTCCAAACACGATGCTTGGAGTTGAGGTTCATCAAACCACAGAATCCTGCTCTCCCGGCTGCTCAGTTGGGCGACTAGATCTAGGGATAGTGCTGGTTGATTAAAAAATTCACTGTGCTATTGGAAAGCCTTAAAGGGGACCTATTATGCAAAATACACTTTTGCAAGGTGTTTGGACATAAATCTGTGTTGGCAGTGTGTGTACACAACCACACTATAATGATAAAAATCCACCAACTCCTTTTTTTTAAATCCCCATAAATAATAAGCAGTGTATCCCAATGGCCTATTTTTAGCATTGGTGCTAATGTGACGTTACATTAGCCACAGGCCCCGCCCACAAATGTTGACAGACACTGCCATTTTAACATTGAACCGCCCTGAGCGAGTTCACAGCGAGTTGTACACAGTCCACCATTGCTGCACTGACGAGAATGTCTCCCAAGCGTTTTAGGTGTTCTGTTGCTGGATGTGTTAAGTAAGTATCACGCGTTTGTTTTCCAAATTGCCTTTCTGAAAGAGCTTCTTGGCACTCTGTAAGGCTAATGTTGCTAAAGCTACCATTGTCTGTCTGTTTTCACTGATGCTGCCTTCACGTGCTACCAGAATGATCGTGAATAGGAATGTGGCAGTTAAAATTGCATATGGAAGCAATGTGAAATCGGCCGCTTGAATTTATCTAGCTCATAATCATATTCGGGACTTATAAAGTTCGCGCGATGGCACCATGAGACCAGCTATGTTGTTATTTTTATAGCGCCGTGCTCCCCGTCTGTGTAATTCATAAATAATCTGGCAGGATGCAGAATTCGGCACGACACCGGTTCGAACATATATGGCTGAACACCGCTACTAGCAGTTTCTGACATTTTCAGTGCGTGAGAGAGTGTTTTGTTATTGCTGGCATGCCGGTGCACGCGCTCTAGAAACTCCACCCTCTTCTGAAAGCGGAGGCGGGAGCACCAGCTCGTTTTCATTTAAAGGGACAAACACAGAAAAGAGCGCGTTTTGGCTCATACCCTAAAAATGGAAATTTCAACAAGCTATAAAAAATTATCTGTAGGGTTCACATACACACTCCTCTAAAGGGATAGTTCTACCAAAAAGGAAAATTCTGTCATTAATTACTCACCCTTTGGAACATAAATTAAGATATTTTTGATGAAATCTGAGAGAACTACCATGGTCAAGGCACAGAAACGTATACTGTAGCAAGGACATCGGAAAAATAGTCCATGTGACATCAGAGGTTCAACCGTAATTTTACGAAGCTTCCAGAATACTTTTTTGTGCGCAAAGAAAACAAAAATAATGGCTTTATTCAATTTCTTCTCTTCCGTGTCAGTCTTCGCCGCGTGTTCACAACCGTACCATGACGCACAAAAAGCATTCTTGTAGCTTCATAAAATTACGGTTGAACCACTGATGTCACATGGACTATTTTAATGATGTCCTTACTATGTTTCTGGGCCTTGAATGTGGTAATACCCTTTCTGTCTATGCAGGGTCAGAAAGCGCTCTGATTTCATCAAAAATATCTTAATTTGTGTCCTGAAGATGAACGAAGGTCTTAAGGGTTTGGAACCACATGATTTATTACTTCAGTACAGCAAATTTTTGTGTAGTCGTCTTTAGATCTGCGCATCGAAACAATCTCGCCTCTGAGATCTGAGGCAGCTCTTTTGACTTAACTTTTTTGCTCTATGCATCTTAGGTTATTTAATAGACACATAAAGATATCATGTCAATCAACTGAATTTGCCACAGGTAGACTCAAAGTCTAAGTGTAGAAGCATGTCAGAGCTGTGGCCCAGTTGTCTATGCCTTAGGTCTTCAACCCTGCTCCTGGAGACACACTGTCCTGCAAAGTTTGTTTCCAACCTGCTTCAATGCACCTTCCTGTGATTTTTCAAAAGCAATCCTGAAGAGCTTGATTCGCTGGTTCATGTGTGTTTAATTAGGGCTGGAGCTAAACTCTGCTGGACAGTGGGTTTGCAGGAGCAGGATTGAAGACCCCTGGTCTATGCTCATGACATGTATGCGGTTGATCTGAGTTTGATTCCAGGCCTGTGCGGTCCTTTTCTGGTGCCAATCCTCGACTCTTCTCATCTGCTATTCCCTGTCACATCTCTACTGTCTCTTTCCACTGAATCGAAGAAAGACCAAAAACTTCCAAACCTGTTCCTGGAGGATCACTGGAACTCCAACCCTAATTAAACACACCTGAACCAGCTAATTAAGATCTTCAGGATCACTAGAAACTTTGGCTGCATTTACACTGGCACAAAAAATCTTAATTTTTTGCTCACATCTGACACAGATCAGAATTTGTTGCACATGTGTAAACACAAAAATCAGCATTTTCGTATCCGATCTGGGCCACTTCCAAATGTGGATTTTAATCGGATACATATCCGGT